TCGGATGAACGGACCGATTTTTATCAGTGTTGGAGACTTTGACCTAATCCCGGACCGGATGGACCAACGGTGACATCACCGTTCAAACATGGGCGAGGAAAAGGCAAACACGAACGATGGATCTAATCGCTTCGCGCGTCACTTTTATCAGCTACACGAGAGAGCTTCGGGGCTTCACCCGAACAGGAGAAAAATGCGTGACGCTCGCAGCATCACTCCGATTTCCACAGCGACGGTACGGTGTTCCTGTAAGAATGGCTTATCGGAAGCGGGCAGAGTCGTCGCGTCGTTGCCGCCAGAGACGCGACCGCCTCGCGTTTACACGTTTCCTTTTTGTTCCGGAAATCGTGGTCGATGCCACGACCTTCTGAGCACAAGTCCTTCCTCATCTTAAAGAATGAATATTATTGCGAGAAAGTCCTATCGAGCGGACTCAAGATTCCTCACAGACGAAATAGATTGAAATAATAGTATTTATATTAAAGTAATAATTTTTGTATGAGTACGTGCGAAGTGGGTCGGGAATCGTTTTAGGTAGCTTACGGCTCTATACACTTCATCTTTTACAAACTTGTTTACGTGCCATTTTCTACGAGCTATAACACCCTCCACCAATCCCTTATCCTAAATTAAACTGTCTTTGATGTGAATGAAGTGAGAGGGGAATACTGTTGGAGGGATGAGTCGCAGAGGGTACGCAGAATTTGTCGAGAAAAACAAGAAACGTGGAGGTACGTGTTACATTAGTGGAACTTAAAGCTACGTCTATAAATTCATGGTATTAACGAAGAAAATATTCTGAAATCCCTGTCGCAAAATTATTACCGTAGAATTCGCGTTTTGTGTTTTGTCTAGCTTTGAAAAGGAGAAGAATCAGGGGAACCGTAAAGCCGCAGCCGCAATAAAAGGGATTAACAACTCTCTAGAAAAAAGGTCCAGATTAAAAAATTCTTGGCTAAGTGAAAGTGTATATCCCCCTAGCAGCTCACTTTGATTGTCCTAGCAGATGTCTAATAAGTAGAAAACTGTTCTTAGATTCAAAACTTCCGACTAGGAAGTCGTAAAAAAATCGTGGTTGTCATTCTTGTGCTACGATTGTCCGACGTTTACCTGAGCCCGGTGCAAGGGATTTCGTCTATTCTTATAATCCCTAGCTCCGCAGGAAGGACTGAACCCACTGACCCGCATTTAGCTGTTATCCGTTTTCTCCTATACCTTGCACTCAGCGCAGAGAAGCTGCTACTGTAGTGCGGAGTGCAAGGTATAATTACCTACTGAAAATCACGATTCCTTCAGAAATTTTCATTTCATCATGATTTATAAGTGGAAATGGTAATACTTTACTAATCAGACGATAATGTCTTAGTGTTGAATTATACGGTGGCATTAATAAATTGCTCCGAAAGCGTTTCAAGGTGATTCAAGCACCGTTACGCGCCAATCCAACCATCTCACTCCTCTCCGACCCTCGCGTAAATTACTTTGTACAAAGACGTCCGAACTAATTTGTTGTCGATATTCAATAATCTCCAAGATTTCCTGAACTGGGGTTTAGGATTTTACAGCTTTGGTACAGCGATGAGGGAAGAAATACTTTCAGGCGGAAATACAATTTTATCATTTTAATTATCAATCAGAATATCCGTCAATTTTTATTCCTTTCGACCAAGAGAGAAAGGGTTGATGTTCGCAGTGACCAAGACGGGTGAGCGTGCAGGTAGAAACGGAAACGGTTAGAAGTCAACTACGGATCCCGATTTTGTTCACCTCACGGGATTCTAATTTGACTTCCGACAGGTCCAGGCGTTATAATAATGACAAGGGTTACCCATTTCCCTTGCTACCCCTTTTTTCTGCGCCTAGCCTGCGGATGGTCGATGGACCATATGGACAACATGGTCCATATCTCTCTCCAACCCCTCGCGGGAACATTTCATTTTTATTTTTGTTTCGTAATCGGAATTACAAAAGGCCCGGTCTCTTTTATGCCGTGACAAAAAAGGGTCCGTCCTAATGAATTTCTCCCTTGGCGTGACCAGAAAGAGTTGACTGTGAATCTTTGACAAATTTCGTGAAGAAACCGTCCCTTTTCATTAAAGAATTCTGCATTATAAATTAATGTTGGATAGCGTGAATGCTTGTGAATTGTGCATTACGCGCCGGATGCGTTAATTTGTTGTTATTTATGGCACTATGGCTTGTTATAAATGGTGTACAGGCAATTGACACGTCGTTTTACCTACTATTATACAATTAAACATTTTTCCTTTACACCTTCTTTGTGCTTTATTACTTAGCTCATTAGCAATTAGTTTCACTGAGAAATAAAGACTGCAATCAATATTAAAAGTCTAATTTTATAGCCGATTGCATGACTGGCCCCAGAAAGACGATACTTTGGGGATGTAAAAACATTTGTTTGGATATGAAGCCACCCTCTTTTCAGATTCCTTCCGGGTAGCCATAAAGTCTTCTACCTGAGATGGCGCGCTGACAAAAGCGTTATAATCTCTCTTCGGAAGTGTTGGTCGTTGGTCAAATACCACTACTTGAGAGGACCCCAGAAAAAATAACACCGCTCGACACAATAGTTGACTCCAACTGTTATTACCCTCAGGATGTTATGACCATCCGATCCGAAGAGAGTGAATAACTGACAGTAACCATTTTCCAAAGTATCTTCTAACGTTCGCTCTCTGTTCAGCTTAATGCTAATATCTTCTACCTGAGGCACCTCTCGCGAGATTTCGTTGGATTGTCCTCGAGGAAATGAGAGAGACACATAATCGGGATTACGGATTTACTTTCACTTCATTCGTTAGGTTTTTCCAGAAGTTTTTAGAGAACACTATTGTACGTATGCCATTACTGTTCACTTAAATAGCCTCGTATAGTACGAACATTATTTTTCCATAGGCAATTCTATGAATAACATGATATAGATATATAAAATGACGAAATGTATAATTGCTTTAAATATTTTTTGTCTTATCTATAGCAAAGAATCAACTAAGAGTGATTAAATGCATGAGGCTCCTCATGTGAAAAGCCCGAAAGCCTGCTAGATTTCCAACAACAACGTATTTTCAAAATGTGTACATTAATACGTACAAATTAATGTCATCTACTAATTTATAATACAAACCATGTCTAACCCTTTCTTTGACATAAGCTTACATGCATGTATCAATTTTTACCTGAGACTATTCAGATGAGGAACATTCTACATCATTTGCAATTTCATAAATGTTTAAGGTGCGACTGACTTTTGTCAAAACGGTAAGGATGAAGTTTCGTGACTGCTTTTTTCTTATCACGCGTTTTAAGGTTTTGAGCATCATCGTTCCCCTGCGTTGCACTGTTCTGACGCAAGTGTATATTATCTAACGAAAGACTTTTTTAATGCTCGGTCATCCATCCAATGACGGTGACCTTGCAGCTTATCGAACAACACACTATGGAACTACATATCGGTAACAATTTTAGCGATTCGAGCCGTGCATTATCGCAGACTCCTTAAAACTTTTCGCAGTTACATACTAAAAAATTGTTTACCTGTATTCGTTTCATAGAGTTCTTGTTCGAAATTGATAATAATTCTCCAGGCAACTGGTGTTCGACATTCTTAAATAGTATTTATATTATTGAAATGTGAAACTGAGAACTAAGTAGAATTGTTATTTTTGTTTTAATTCAACAAGGATCATTACTATCAATAATATTAGGTCGACGTAGAGTAATTTTTCTGATCATTATTCCATGGATGCATACTTTATACAAATGGATCTTGAAAGAGAGCGATTAGAGTTTTACGTGATTCCTATTACATAGAGGAATGGAGAAATAGTGCAGTGGCTCGATTTATTTTTTCTCCGAGATACGGGGAAGAGGACCCGTGCGAGTGTGCGCGGGTCCGGTGTGGGTGGCTGCGCGCGCTCCATCCATCCACGCTCGCACACGCCAAAGCTCGGCTGAGTCGAATCGTTTCGCGTGCGCGCGCTGCCGATGTAGCGGCGTTGGCATAGGTACGGATCGCCATTCGGTTGATACCGGTGGGGGACAGTCGGTTGCTCCTCGGATACAGCGCGGAGAGAAAGAGAAAGGCGAGGGAGGACGAGGGTGCGGGACGGTGGGGTCACGAAATTCGTGGGAGGGGTGGGTGGGCAGACAGGACAGACAGGAGTTCGAGAAAACGATCAGTGGCCAGAGAAGGAAGCACCTGGTGCGCGATAAGGATGCTCGGGCTAAGCTCGAGGTAGGGGTAGAAGGAGAGTGTTCGTAGTCGAGGGGGAGATCGGAGAACTCGAGAGAGACAGGAGACCAGGTTCCGAGAGCGAGTTCTAGCGCGGAGAGAAAGAAGTAGGGTAGGAAGAGAGAGACGACGGAAAAGGGTACAGCAGGGCTCCCCGGTGGAGAACACGTAGTAACCGTAGTGGGGATGACCGTAAGAGTCAGGAGGAAAATGAAATAACGTATTGCTCGGTGTTCGACAGAGAGAGAAAAATATAAGACAACTAGTGTACGGGAGAGAGATATGGATAGAGAAGTACTAGACTAAAATGAGGGAAACATGAATAAGAGTAAATTCTGTAGTTAGACAATATTTATCAAAATAAAATGTAACAGAAGAACCAGAGGAAGGATGATGTTATGATTAATTTATCCTATCTGGACCCCATGATTAGAAACAAGAAAGACGTTCACGATGTTAGTACTGTGCAACGAAAATAGAAGTTCCTTTTGAGAAAAATATGGTCAACCTATGAAATAGGTCGATGACAGGGAACGGATGGCAAGACCCAGAGGCAAAGCCGAGAGACAGAAAAGCAGAAAAAGGGGAAGGGATGACGCGGACTCATCGGAGAGAAGGGTGCTGATCGGTTAACAGTGGGGGTAATTTTGGAGTGGGAGTCGGGCGGTCGCCGGGCTCAAGAGGAACGGGTGGGGGGCACAGGTAGGAGGGATGATCAGACTCTTGCGCGCAGCCTGCGAGAAATTGTCGGGAGCATCGTGTCACTTCTCCGCGGTGTGTCGCCCCGTCGTGACCTGTTGTCTCCTGGACCTTGTACTTATTTACTTACTCTCGTACAATAATCCCCCCACCACTACCCCGGGCTCGGGCTGCGAGCACGCTCCTCCGTAAACGGTCCTCGCAGTCACGTCATTCGTGTTCGTGGTACACACAGGATCAGGTGTCCGAGCGTAGGCGGTCTGAATTTCGTACTCCGTCAAGTCCTTCTACAAGCATTCGTTCATAGTGCTTCGTTGCGCGTGGCTGTGACACGAACTGGAGCTTAAAGTGCTATCTTCGAAACGGGATACCTTAAACAGCCGGGAGTAGTAACCGGAAAAGGTGCTAGTGACTCTGATACGGATCGTGCGCTACCGGATGGAGGAACGGTACATACGCGGGTCGGTAGCGAGAAGCGGAGGCTGACGTTCCCCCGATTGATTCAATAACGATCCGTAGAACAATTTCTTTTCTGTACTTCGTGTGACACTTGGTTTCATGCGAGTTGAAAGATCCGAAAGGGTGTTCGGAAGTATAGTAATTGAGTGACGATCGAGAGATTCGGATCGGGTCGGGCGAGTGTGGTGTGCACGGTGAAGCGGGATCGTGTTAAGTGTAACGCACACCGTTTTCCTTTGGATGTTAAGTGCCGGAACCGACCTTGAGACTTCCATGAGTCGGCCACGACGCTGACGCCGAGGGAAGCATGGATTACTCGATGAAAGGTAAATGTTCTCTTCTTGTTTTCTCACCATCCGGACCCATTCTGTCACCACTCGACGATCTTTTCGTCTGTAGCGATCGATTTCTTACGCCTCCTCTTCCTGCGAGTTAATGGCGATACAAGCTACGACCCCTGTCTCGAGATATTAACGTAATGGAGAACAGTCTACTTTACTTGAGGGCGAACCTACATAACGAAATAAGATGAAAATACGTTATCGAGCTGAAGATGAATCTCATCACCCATTAGAAGGATCATAGTCCAATTTAAAAGATACTTTCATGCTTATGCATGGAAGTTTATGTGAAAGAAAGGAATTTCGATGAAAATTCTTGCTTATTAATTAGTTCGGTTCCTATTTTAATTTTATTCATACTACATGCAATTTCCTACGAAAAAGTAACATGGACTATTTGAGATTATCCAAGTAACCTGCACTGTGCTTACATTACTAAAAATTCGTATAGAATGAGATATTAAATGATACAAAGGGCCAGGGTCAGTAAACATTCTTTTCTCTACAGACTCCGTACATTAAGGCTAGTGAATTACATCAAACTGACTAATTCTACCTTTTGAACATCCGATTCTCTACTTCTGGCATTCCAAAAACCAGTAAAAAGTACAATTGTCTTGTATAGGACATAAGGTGAACGTTTAACAGTTCTACTCACTGGCTTATTTTTCTATAATTCTAAGATAATATGTAAAATTATAAGAAAATGTAGAAATTGTGACGTGGATAGATATTGGGACATTTACCTTATTATTAGGAATTCGTGTAGAATGAGATTTTATATGATACGAGAGACATTAGGTGCTGTGATCTGTAAACATTCTTGTCTATACAGATTCTATACAATGAGATTAATGATCATATCAAACCGATGAATTCTATCTTCCCAGCATCTGTGTGTGTCTCTGTTTTGAAATTCTGAAGACTAGTCAAAATTAGAATTATCCTATGCAGAATATACAAGTTTTTGCCAAATAAATTCGTTCTATTTTATTGTGCCCGCTGTTCACTCTCGTGACCTCTCTAATGAGGCATCTATTGTTCTTGGAATCGACCTAACGCTCGAGGTTAGCGCCGATTTATCGGAGGCCTGGGAATATTTAGGCAGAACAGGATGCCGGGAAACGACCGAAATTCTCGATGGCTAATGAGCAGGCGTACAACGTAACAACAAAGACGAACGTGAATGTTAGATAGAAAGATAGATGTTATCACCGTTCGTTCCGCGACCGTTGCCTCGCGCGTTTCTCTTTCCCTCTCAGCGCCGCGATTAACACACAAAATATCGATGCCTATCGATGTCTCCATTAAGTCTGCGTTGGGATTTTCGTTTCAAGAACGCGGCGCACGTTCTCCATTGAAATTCGCGTGTCAATGTTACGCGAGACTCCGTTTCGCTGCGCGTTCGAATGCTTGATAAACGCAGACGTTCAATGAATCCTCGTACCGTTCACATAAATCGAAATCGTTAGAATTATTATACGTATAAGCGAAATACAAATCTGTTTTCTGTTTCCGAGATAGTACAGATTTACATAACGTAGTACCAATTTTGATTTATCTCCCCGAGTTATAAGTGAGATAGATTATAGTTCCAGTCATACATAATCTCAGATCTCAAAGATAACTTCATCCTCCTCGTTCTAAAATTTTATTCCAATTCAGTGCTCTATCATATCAAAAGTATCAACGAATCTTGAAATTATTTATTTACTTGCTAAAAGGGTTATAAGTCTTTTTATGTACACGATGACATAATGTGCATCAATCATGTTAATAAATAATATACATCGAGTTACGAAAGCCGACAGTTTATCTGTATATGACAGTACAATAATACAAAATTACTATAAAATAAATAAATTCAATGGCATACGTTAGGAAGCAATAAACAATCTGTTCCTATATTTGCGATGCGCCCACTTACCCAACAAGGGTTGCACCAATTTTCTATCCCTGATCATCGTAATTTCCGCGAGCAAACGACTGCAGTGGCGACAAAAAATAAAATCCCGTCCGCGTAGCGAGAGAGCTTACGAGATAACGAGATTACGGGGATCGCCGTGATGACGTAATCCGTGGTACCCACCTACCTACCTAGCTCTGATGTCCTATCCTAGCGGAGAACGAGCCAGCCACTCAGTTTCCAGGAAGCTCGTATCGATTTTTCCGGCGACGCTCGATACGCGCGCGATTCGCATCGGTTCGATTGTGGGAAGAGGAGAAAAGGCGCGGACGATCTCGCGACCACCAGGCTGACGTGTCTGAATTCTAATCTATCGCGGAGTGACCGAGTGAATGTGTGTGTAAGAGAGAGAGAGAGAGAGAGAGAGAAAAGAACGGTGGGAAAGAGGTGGGTGAGTTACCAGTCCAAGTCCACAGTAGATAAGGACCTGAACTTGGTCTTATCTGGAAAATTATCTGTCGAACCGCTCCCGTGAATGGACTGACGATCTTTCAGGATGGAAGTAAAGTATCTTGCCATAAACTAGTCTCATTCCTATGACGCTTGGAAGTTTTCCATTTCTATCTGCGAGAAAATTGAACTTCTAAAACATTACTTAAAACATTAATGGAACACATTGATATAATATTTGAGAGAAATGTTTAGTAATCCTGCTAAACTGGTAAAACGAGTAGTACGGAAACAAACAGACAAACAGTAGACAGTACAATAGGACTCGGTTGGGGGTAGCAGGCGAGGAAAAGCTCGTTTACACGGAGAAAGACCGTGAAAGCCCTTCGAGACTGGGGCGTGGCGTGGAAAGCCAGCCGCACCCTTTCTCACCCTCAGGTCTCTCACCCTCGAACGTTCTAATTACCCTTTAACCCAATGTTAACAACACGATTTTCCTCGCATTAACGTTACCCAGACTTCACCCCCTCGCACCTGTCTGTCACTTAATCTTACAATTAGACATTGTCCCATTCTGGTTTTCATGAAATTTCATGCATAAAGCAAGTGGGTTTTAACAAATTGGGAACGAAATGTGAAAATGTATTTAAGAACGATATACATTTATCTATCATTTTCATTTTGCAACGTAAGAGATATACGTGTACATAATTTATTTACTGAATGATTTGACAAATGATATTAAGAAATTAATGACGATTTTGCACTATCAAAGATTAATAGATTATTATTTCGTCTGTGTTTCGTTCAATAATAGATTTTTAAACTCTACAACTTTTATATTTATTTATATGCGTGATATAATTATTGAGGACATGACTAATTGGGACGGAAACAGGTTCTGGCTAGAAGTGTAGAAATTGAAACGATTTCGTCCAACCCTCCATCCCCTTTCGCTGTTCCAGTGGTAACGATCCATACGCAGCGAGTCGTAGGTATGACAACCGCGTCTCTAGGTATATGCGGAAACACTCGGTTGGGCCACGTATACGGAGGATTCTTTACGTGACATCCTTTGCCGTGGCTCGCGCATGGGTTGGTCAATAGAACTGTGCTCGAGAAAAAACTCGATAGTGGCCGAGCTCACCGTTTCCCTGGCCGCTACCTGGGTAATTTCCTTTTTCACGAGGCCTTCTTCGACTGACCAATCGATATTTATGCCAGACCGTTCGCTGAATTCGTGGGAAGCTGCCCTAACCCATTTTTCATTCGTTTATCGCGAAAGAATATAAGATGCAATAAAACTTCTTGTGAAATTAGGTATTATCAAGTATAGACTTTCCTTTCAGTTTATATTATCAGGTCTGTTTTTGAAAAATTTTCTGTATTGATTTTATTGTACAGTATTAGAAGAGAAATTTTGATTCGAACGTGTGAATTGTTTTAATAATATCAGTAGATATTCAATTGCTTAAGGTTATATGAACCGTTACATAAAAACAGTGACAAAACATTGAAATTTTAACAGTCATTAAATGTTACAGTAATAGAACGCTGTACAAAATTTTAGGAATTTTGTGATCCCATTAAAAATGTTATTACGTCTTGAATTCTTATGTTGAATGACAGGATTTTGATTTCATTTATGAAAAAATATGAATGCAATAATGATAGAATTTTGTAATTTTGTACAATTCTTAATACATGATTTAAGGATATTTTAAAGTTGAAATAATGTCAATTTCGAGGATATTATTTAAGATATACAATAAAAAGTATGCAAAAGTAAGAATTATAATTATAGGGCATGTAGAGTGTATAGACGATGTAGACAGTTGCAAGTCACGTACAGTTCAATAAAAAGAATGTCAAAACTGTGTATTAGAATATTAGAAATTATGCATTAAAAATTCCATACGACCAAGAAAAACAGATCGAATAATTTTAGAATCTTTTCTCCTCTGTAATAATCATTTTTTTTTAAAGCGTTCATTGCCTCAGATATTGGACACAGCTTTTTATTACTTGTTTTAAACATTTACGGCTCATACAACCTTAAAACTTATCCTCGTATTTAGAATGAGGATTTCATTTTGTTGAAGATATGTGGTCGGTCGCAATTTTCCGTCGACTCCAGTTCCGGAACGTTGAATCTGACCGAGCTCGGCGGAAAGTAAAAGAAAATCTTCCGTTGATTTTAATTAACGATATTAGCCGTGGAGAAATGGCTCGTTAAGATTACGAAACAGTCAGTCAGCTTGTTGAAAGCAAAAACGTGCAAATAATATACATTTCTCGCGGCGCGGTGCATCGTAGGATTTCAATACGCAGATATTACAGATTCGTTCCGGTTTCGCTGTGAAAGAAATTTTCCTCGGTTCGATCCGCGCGTGAAACAGTTCTTACAGGTATACGCGTTTACCTTTCATTTTTCATGCGTTCGTTGCGCGATGGCTCGTGTAGCGCAGTCGTTCCCAAGAAAATCCTGAGAAACGTTTCTTTCTTCGTCTTGGTATTCCCACTGCATACGCCTCCCTTTATTCTCCCGTTAAGATTATGTGATATATCTGTGAAAACCGATCGAGTTTACGCTCCAATTGCGATGTTACTACGAACTGTTTCAGTACTC